AGAACTTAGCAGTACTATTATAATATTTAAACAAAGAGATGAAATGGAAGGAGCTAAATAACATAAGAAGAAATAAGAAGGAGTGATGAGAAAAAGAACGTAAGATTTCATCACTAATGTCTTTATTTGATATTGTCATCGGTATGGCCTACCCGCTGAATTTTGAATCATTTTTCCTTTGTAAATTTCCATCTGTCTTTCATTCAGTTGTTATAAAGCTTAGGAATCTACGATCTCAATCTTTCATCTTGTCGTCGAGGAACAGAATTCAAAACAAGCAGGTGTTGCTAAGAACAATAAAATCATGCACCTGTCCTGGGATAGCATCCGGTGGGAGTGAAGTGAGCATCGTTGCCGTAAAGAAAAAAGAAGTAATGAAATCCCAACATGGAGCATTCGTATCGTAGCCATGTCGATATTTAAGATGGGCAGTAAATACCGTATCCACGTACTGCAATGCGCCACTAAAGTCACAAAAGATTTGCTATCTTGGATATCTTAGAAATACCGTAACTTTTGATCTTAGAATGCGATTCAGTTATTTTGTAAATTTTAGACAGATCAGTTGAGTGAATTACTTTATAAAATTGTTCTTTACTGTCTCGTCTCAGTATTTCCTTCAACTCTGATCTGCCCGTTTTTTGATATTTTTTGGAATGTGTTAAATCCCAAATTCGATCTATATACTTCTCCACGCTTACATCGATCCTGCTTAGCTGGGCCGCTTTCATGTCCTAAAATTACCAGCATGCTTTTTCAACAGTGACAACATTAATTGGATTATTTTAATGCTTATGTAACTTTTTGTGTTAAATTAACCTCAGTAAAGTGTATTTTCATGTATATGAAAAGATTTTTATTTTAAAGAGAACTTCTTTAATTATTATATTTAAATAAGTTCAAATGTATAAACCCAAAAATGGTCATACTTGAATTGCAGTAACAATAACGATTATGTATTAAATTTAATGATGCAATCATTTCAACATCTATTTAAAGATGCGCCTGAATGGCTTCAGATGTAGTTATTCAACTGGAAATAATTGCTAATAATTGCAGCAAAAGACTTCATGTTATTTTTTTTCCCCCAAAAATCAAAAACTTGAGCACTTACAACATTTAACTACTTTTTGGTAGAGAATTTATAGAGGATTAGAAAATTTAAACTCTTACATATTTTTCTGATTTTAGTTCACAGTTCACAATAGTTGGTATTTCTATTACTCGGTAATATCGTTTAATTATTATTGAGGTTCAAAAACTTGCAAACTTTTAAATGACGTCCTTCAAGTGCTTGAAATATCCATGCGCCAACTATCATATATAGAATGCAGGCTACAACCAATAGAAAATGCGGAGAAATGATTTTAGTAACAATCAAACGCCGTAAAATCCTAAAAATATCAGAACGTTAAAACTATATAGATATCAAATATTACTATAAATTGATTGGTATGTTTTTACTAAACGGAATATGACTCTTGCTGGACATAGCTTAGTTACAGTGTTCAAATGAAGTGAGAAATAATGTGTACCTTAAAAAAGACATTATAGCCAGCTTGTTGGTGAATTTGAATTCAAATTGATGCAAACATCTTGGCATTTTTAGTTACAATTGTTTCATAAATGTCGATAGATACGTCAACAAAGTAAGAAAGAAGACAAAAGAAAAGAATCGAGTAGCTTTGACGAAAATATAATAATGCTGTTTGGGTACTCAAAGAAATTGAAGAGATCGATTTCTGAAAATCCCGTGGGAATCAAAATTCGATATTTGCTGGTTTTGAAACTGAAACGATTTTGGCAACTACTTTTTCTTTCTTTTTTTTTAATAGAACCTAAAATTGAGTATCATAAATCAATAGATATAACACTCAGTTTGACGCACATTCTGGATGAAATCAAGTGATAAACCAAAATATCAGGACACAGTACTGATAAAATGAATGAAGGAACAGACTCAAGTGAGAACCTTCACAGATAACAGGCGAATAATTTATTCAAATACATAAAATTCCCAAGGATGTCACGTGAAGCATACACATGTACACGTATAAGATGTATATTATGCATGCGTGACACACGTGCACTCATTTGGCCCTTCTGTTTACCGTCATTTTTAGACCTTGGTCTCAAAGTCACCTTTGATCATGCTATAAAGAAATGATGTGAAAAATATGGCTGAGATTGTTGGTTGGATCAGTTGTCTCATTTTACTTGGCTTGATCAGTTAAGTCATCTGATGACAGAGCAGCATTTAGTACTGCCCAGAACGCAGTGAAATGTAAGCAAATTCGGTGTAATTTGAAAAATGACCGTTGCGACGACATACTTTTATTTCGTTTTAAATTATTTTATATTCTATTTTTGTCCTGCTGGCTCATTCCAGGGAAAGAAATTGGAGCAAAACTGAACAATGGCTCAGATTAAGGGACAGATCGAATTAAAATATCTTCATGTAGAAATTATATTCGCTATTTGAGCTCTGGACAAACTTTGTTGGACTCTTGGTTATTTAGCAAATATAAACATTCATCTTCTTCTACCACTGCTATCACTTCTGATATAATCACTGATATTATCACTATAATCCTAATGTTGACCAAATCAAACCAATAGTGTGTCCATGGTTAAATAAATATTTGTTAGAATCGGAGAAGAAATAAGAAATCAATCCATTCCAGCGAATTTTATGAGACAGCAATAAATGAACACTTTTTTGCTATTTTTTAAAAGATATACGACAGGGTGGTTTAAAGCTTAAAGTCTAGCAATATAATGGGAAGCGCAACAATACGAGTTCATCATAAGTGTCTACTTGGATTTGTTATTTCAAATTCCAATAGAATATCTTATTTTTATAATGAGAAAATGTGAGCAGAAAACGAAAGACAGATCTATTAGGAAATTCGATTGTTAAGTGGAAAACTGAACAATTAAAGTAAGTAGTCGAAAATTTGAATTGAAATGAAATAATTGTAATTATATTATCAGCTACTGAATACTGTTATTATAATGCCTTACTGCAGTATTGCAAGTTTTTCTCAACGATGATACAGTTAAGAAAGAAAAAATTGAAAGGAGTACTACTACTACTTGAATAGTACGGGTCCAGTTTCAGGCTAGATTTTTTTTCTCTTGGCTACACGGACCTTCATGCATATCTCATTCATTCTTGATAAAATGTGCAAATAATATAAGACGTAGAGAATGAAAATACATTAATATAAGTACGAAATAAAACATTAATTTGGATAGAAAATAGATGAATTAGTAAAATGTCAAAGAGACTGATGATGTTGACATATTTTTCGTTCGCACACATTGACTGAAATCATTTATTTTTACCTTTACTCGATTTAGAAAGTACGGTGTAAAGTATATATTAAATTATCAACTACAGAATTGTTTGCTGTTGATAATGGTAGTAGAAATAATTAGAGAAATGTGGTACTGTCAAAGAAGATTGGTTGGTTAATCCTTTTTGAGATGCAACCGTAAGTCTTGTCATCCTGACTTATAAAAAAACTGTGAAGACCTGCACCTTCTTTATTTCGAAATTCTTTAATTTACTATTGACATTATTTCCAGAACTTTCGATGAAGTCGCAAAATTTAATGAGAGACAAAATTGGAAAATCTTGTTCTGTGATCGATAAAACTTTGCATTTTGTCGAGTTCTTCTTTTTTTGAAATTAAAAACTGATTTCTCAAGCTTTTCAGTAGCAGGAAGCTATGAGAGATTTTTGTTACTTCATAATTACTACATATCTTCGGTTCACTTTGGAACAAATGCGCAGGCCATGTCGTCATAAGTGTTGAAGGATACAGGAAATTATCAGCATTGCATTTCTCATTTCATATTCTGCTAATCTTTTCTGTTTTCATTAACAACTTTCCATTTGTCCTCTTTGAAGTTCACTAAGAAAAATTAGCGTCCCATGTTATGCATAGCTCTTGTCACTGTCAATTGTCAAATTTCTAACCAGTGCTATGAAAATTCTTCCTGAAACATCAAATCTAAAAGTTTTGAGGGACAGTCTTTTTTTTTTTTCAAAATTGCTTCGAGATCTAATACAGTGAAGTGAAACAGCGATACACTGATTGATGATTATACTGACAAATTCAATAAGAAATTTAGATGTTTGGTAAGTTTCTTATGGATTTCTTATGAAAAACAGTTCAATGTATGCTTAAGTAATTATTGAAACACTCAACTCTTAAGCAAAAAACAAGTGTAAGTGATCAATACATGTCAGATCAATGGGACTTGGTCACATGAACTGGCTAATCACATTTCGAATTGCAAAGACTTGATAAAAAAGGACTGGAAGCAAATTGTCTGCTTAAGACATAACAGTTTCATTCATTCTGGTCCAACTCCACTTATTTTTCAAAATTAGAAGAAAGTCAAAATAATATACATTTTTATATTGGAGTGATGATAGTCTGAAACTGTGGTGGAAAGATCAACGAGTTCATTAACTTGATGTCCCCTCTTCCCACTTTAAGTATATTAATTAAAACTACAACTAAGACCTTCTTTTTACTTTGAGTGTGTTAACTAAAGGCATAAGCATCGCTGCTGGCCATATATTAAATTGCGGTTTTGCAATACAAAATATTCAGAATGATGGCGAAACAATTTCTTAAAGTATTGAGATCATCCGTATAAGGACAGGATTTGACAGGAGTGGAGGCAGTGAAAGTCAATAGAACCTCCTGGATGCAACAAAAACTAGGTATTTAGTCTAGACTTTCAAACTAATGCTAAAGATGCAGGCTTTAAAATTCTTCTACTCAAGCGGTGAATGACTTGACACCAAGCTTTGCATCTGATTCGAAGGCTACCATATTGCATTTGCTTATTTAAAATTTTAGTTTGAAAGTTCATTTTAGAAAGTATAAGTAACATGTCATGACTGCCGATGCAGTGAATTCATTCCTGTTCGATCATTCCCGTTCAAGATAATAAATAAATTCAGGAAAAATGGTGGAAACAACGATCGAGCCGATATGTCCGATATGTTCGTGCTTTTCGATGAATACAAACACAAGCTGCATGAAGGAACGGTTACTGCTTTTGCTATATTCTTTTTGCAGTAGGCATTGTCCATCCTTTTCTATTGATTATAACCATTTAATGTGAATGAGAGATACGATCTTCTAACTGAAACAGTAAAGAAGGAAGATTCCGATTTGGTTCTGGATTCGAAATTGGAAATGGTATATCCTGATGATGGTAACTTTTCTCCTTCGCTTTCCTGTTTAGTTCTCACTCTCATGTTGCAGGTACTTCTGTTTCATCTTTCTACT